CAGAGCCTTAAGGAACTCCGGGTGAATTTCATCCACCCCTGGGGCCCTGCCACCGAGGAGCTTTTTAACCATATTGGTGACCTCAGCACCAGAGATTGGAGGGCCCAACCCAGAGTCCCCAGGCTCCGCTTCCTCAGTGAAAGACGTGCCGGTGGGATTGAAGAGGTCTTCAAAGTATTCTGCCCACTGACCCACGACATCTCGAGTTGAGGTCAGCAGCACACCACCCCCACTATAAACAGTGTTGGTGTTGTACCCCCCCACCCCCACCCCCGAGACACCGGATGGTGGACCAGAATAGCCTCAATGCCATGCGGAAGTCATTCTCTATGGCCTCTCCAAACTCTTTCCATGCCTGAGTTTTGCCTTAGTGACCACCCGAGTCGCTTGTTGCTTGGACTGCCGGTACCCATCAGCTGCTTCCGGGGTCCCACAGGCCAAAAAGTCCTGATAGGACTCCTTCTTCAGCCTGACAGCATCCCTCACCGCTGGTGTCCACCATCGGGTTCGAGGGTTGCCGCTGCGACAGGCACCGACAACCATGCGGCCACAGCTCTGGTAAGCCGCCTCGACAATAGAGGCACGGAACATGGCCCATTCGGTCTCAATTTCCCCTACCTCCCCTGGAACATGTTCAAAGTTCTCCCGGAGGTGGGAGTTAAAGCTCCGTCTCACAGGAGACTCTGCCAGCTCCGCCCCTCTCTTCACCCAAGTGTCAAAGACATGTCGCCGCAGATCAGATGAGACGATGATTAAGTCCATCATCGAACTGTGGCCTAGGGTGTCCTGGTGCCAAGAGCACATATGAACACCCTTATGCTTGAACATGGTGTTTGTTATCGACAATCCATGATGAGCACAGAAGTCCAACAACAGAGCACTACTCAGATTCAGATAAGGGGGCCGTTCCTCCCAACCACACCCCTCCAGGTCTCACTGTCATTGCCTATGTGAGCACTGAAGTCCCCCAGCAGAACAAGGGAGTCCCCAGGAGGTGCACTTTCCAGTACCCCCTCCAAGGACTCCAAAAAGGGTGGATAATCTGAACTGCCATTTGGTGCATAAGCACAAACGACAGTCAGAACCCGTCTTCCCACACGTAGGTGGAGGGAGGCTACCCTCTCATTCACCAGGGGAACCCCAACACACAGGCACCAAGATGGGGGGCAATAAGTATACCCACTCCTGCTCAGCGCCTCTCACCAGGGGCAACTCCAGAGTGGAAGAGTGTCCAACCCCTCTCAAGGAAACTGGTTCCAGAGCCAGAGCCATGCGTAGAGGTGAATCCGACTATTTCTAGCCGGAACCTCTTAACCTCACACACCAGCTCAGGCTCCTTCCCCACCAGTGAGGTGACATTCCACGTCCCAATAGCCAGCTTCTGTAGCTGAGGATCAGACCGCCAGGGTCCCCGCCCTCGGCCACCACCCATCCCACATTGCACCCGATCCCTTTGGCCCCTCCCACAGGTGGTGAGCCCATGGGAAGGGGGACTCACGTCTCCTCTTCAGGCTGTGCCCAGCCAAGCTCCATGGTTAAAAGCCCGGCTACCAGGCGCTCGCCCGCATGCCCCACCTCCAGGCCTGGCTCCAAAGTGGGGCCCCGGTGACCCACGTCTGGGCGAGGGAACATTGAGTCCATTTATTTTGCTCATCATAGGGGAGTTTTCCAAATAAGCCTGTTGAGTCAAATATTTCTTTTACTGCAGTTCTGAGCAGCATGGCGACAGTGGAAAGGAATGTCTCATGCTTAACAGGAACCTCTTGCAGAACCGGGTTCAGGATGATCAGCCATCTGCCTCGACTGGCTCGAGATGAGCAGAAGAATTGGTCCAGGAGTGGTTTCTATAAGGAGAAAAGGACAATATTGGAGAAAGTACTCAAATACTGTACTTAAGTAAAAGTACAAATAAACAGACAAAAATGTACTCTAGTAAAACTAGAAGTACCACATTAACGTTTTTACTTTACTAGAATATAGGTCATTGGCCCAGATCTTCTTGAAGGCAGGTCTAACGTTACCTGCACACTTTGCAGTGATTCTATGGACCAACTCCCCTCTCACCATTGGTTACTTTCAAACTAACGAAAAAAAAAAAAAAAACGCAACGCATTATAGAAATGTAGTGTAGTAGAAAGTACAGATACTTAATGTAAAATGTAGTGGAGTAAAAGTAGAAAATACTCAGGTTTAAGGCTACTTAAGTAAAGTATACATGAAAAACGTACTTAAGTACAGTAACAAAGTATACTTGTACTTAGTTACATCCCACTGGTGATAACTGTATGCACAAACATGGAGAGTAGAGCAAGTAGACAGTGTGAGGAAATGTGATCAGTTTGTCCTCCTGCAGTCCAAGCTTATAACATATTAACTAAGGAATAACTCAGGAAACCCAAGCCAACCCTAATTATAGAATTTAATAAAATAAAAAAGGAAAGTTTTAATCCAAGTATCTAAACTAGGCAGTCAGCCTCAACTAGAAGTTAGTTCAACAAGAAAGGGGTCTGAGAACTGAAAGCTCTGCCTCCCATTCTACTTTTGGAAACTCTAGGAGCCACAAATAAACCTGATGTCTGAAAATGAAGTGCTCCATTAGGATAAAATGGATCAAGAAGATCTTTAATATAAAATAGAGCTTAGTTGTTGAGAGTTACAAGGAAATTATTACAATGAAATTTACAGTAAGCTAAAGGCGAGATACTCCTAATTCTCATCAGACCTCAGGCAGCAGCATTATGGATCAACTGAAGACTTTTATGAAATATTTTTACACATCCAGATTATAAAAGATAAAAATAAAGAATGAAATATTACAATAGTCTATCCCAGTGGATTCCAGTGTGTCAAAGCAGGGAAACAACTAAAACACGTATGTTGGTGTTTCAAGAGGACCAGGGTTGGGGACCACTGGTCAAATGAGGTAAATGCATGGGTCAGCTTTTCTGCATCAATTACTTTTTTTCCAGACATTTATGAAACTTAGAAATAAAACACTGAGCGATTTAATCAATGTTGAGAAAAGATGCCCATTAGACCACCGGGAAGTAACATTACAAACAATTAAATACATAGTTGAAACCATTCCACTCCATAGAAGCAGCAGACCAAGGTCAGTCCACATAAGAAGACTTAAAAGCTTTTAGAATATACCAAAAGTACAAGTTTATAAATATAGACACATGTAAGCTGTTTGGAACAGTTTCATTAAAAAAGCCTCCTCTCCCAGAATAGAAAAGAGAAGCATGGCCTATGATTACAAAGTTTTATCTTGACAAAACCTCTGTTTCATTTGCTGAAACAAGACTAAAGTGGAGAAATTTGACCACAATGTAAATCTGACTGAAATCAAACACTTCAATCCCCTGTAAGAAGCACGGTGGTGAGGTGTTGATGATTTGGGCTTGTTTCACAACCACAGAACCAGAGCACCGTGTAGTCACAGCTGCAGATGTGTTATAATTTATGATTTCTAAACTGGTTTTCTGGAGGTTATTGTTTATTTTTATTTTCGCTGAGCATCTGTCTTAAATTGGTTTTACTTCAAAAGTTCATCAGTCTTAGATGTGCTTCCAAATATTATTTTCTGAGAGTTCCATTAAATTCCTTTCAGTGGTTCATAAAATATTTTGCTAACAGACAAACGGGGATGATGTCAACAGTTAATGCTGAAGTTTTAAACACATTTCTCATCCAATTTGTTAGAGCTCCGAGTAGCTACAGGTTGTGAATGACTCTTAGCTATAACAACAGCACATCCTGGCCCAGCTCCTGTAAAATTAATTTAGTTAGTCATTATTGTGTTCGCTATGTTTGATTAGCTATGATGTCCATTTTGAGTCAGGTTGTCTCTAGAAGTTAATTAGTAGTGGATGGATCTTTAAAGATTACTTTCTGGGTGTTTCAACCAAACTCATCCCATGATTCTTTAGATATTTAGCTAACACTACAGCCAAACACACACTCACATATGAGCATTCACATTATCACCTGCCTTTCAGATGCAGGCAAAAAATATTCCTGTCGTCAGTTACTGATGGTATTATGGATCCATTTAATATAAGTTTGTTTTGATCAATAAACCAATTCACACAACTTTATTATTTACTTTATTTGAAAAAACAAACAAACAAACAAAATAAAAAAAACAAATAATGAGTGAGCTCAACTGCTATGGGCTTAGACTGCTGGAGGACACATTGACCACATGCTCTGCTGCTGTCTTTCCTTGCTCTACTCTACTTGTTTGTAATTATTTTTATCCTTAATATATATTTGTCTTTCTTCCAATAGAAAATACACCTGACCAGCCATTCTGTGTTTGCCTGTTTCTCCTTCCTGCCCTCTCAAACACCAAGGGGTCGAAGCAGATGGCCGCTCGTCATGAGGTTCTGCTGGAGGTTTCTTTTGTTAAAAGGGAGTTTTTCCTTTCCACTGTTGCCTTTGTGCTTGCTGAGGATGGGAATGGATCAAGTGGTTACTCAACACAATCTGCTGGCTTTCATAGACAGATAACTTTTACTAATTGGCTTTTTTTAATGTATATGAATGTTTCTGTTCAGTGCCCTGAGACAACTTCTGTTGTGACTTGATGCTATATAAGTAAATTGGGAAAAAAAAAAAAAAAAAAAAAGTCAATTTTTGTAAAACAAACAGTGTCGAAGCAGCTTCTTGAAGTGAAACTCGCAGATTTAATGGGAAGTTGCGTTGTTTTTATCTTTAACATGCGCCATTTTGTTTCCCGGTTTGTTTACAGAAGGCAGGTGTAGCACATCATTTGGTTTCCCTTCACGTTGGGAGACTGTTGTCAGCAACGGCTCTGCGCACGAGGAGTTCGCTTTCAAACGGTGACCACGTGCTTCCGGAAAACCAGCCGGTCAGCTGATTCAAACGGCACGCGGAAACTGTAAAAGTAAAAGTCCAGAGGAAGAAGAAGCTCTCCGACAGAACCGGGTTATATCTACAGAAAATAGCGCTTAATGTTGGTTCCGACCCGCCAGGGAGGTTCTGAAGAGCAACTCTGACCCGCCGAGCTGTCACCAGGAGGATATTCTTCTTATTATGGCTCACAACGAGTCGCAGGTCAATTTAAATGGGACTCAAGTAAGTGACATAAACTTCTGTCTCCATTTATTAGGCACGTTTCCCTAAATGTAGACACTGTAAGTGATTTTATTTATTTATTGTTGTTGCAGTTTTTGTTTAGTGTCAGTCCACACCTGTTGGCACTGCACATGACTTCCTGGTTTCTGTTTCAATTTACAGCTGAAAGAAATGAACAAAAACAAAGTTAGTTGTGTTATGAATGTGTCATAAAAGCGTCATTAAAAGGCACACATCTGGCACACATCTGGCAGTGCACATCTTGTGCTGGGTGCATGGCAAGGCTTGACTGAAAAACAACTCAGATACTGAATGGCAGGTGTGAATGATTTATTATTTTCTGTTTTTAAGTGTCGTCTTTTGGATTCATATTTTAATCTGAGAAATTAAAAGTTGTGAGAGCAGCCATGTTGTATGGTCTGGAGACAGTGGCATTGACACAAAGACAGAAGAAAGAACGGGACGTAGCAGAAATTAAGATGTTGAGGTTCTCCTTAGGGGTGACAAGGATGGAGAAGATTAGGAATGAGATCATCAGAGGTACAGCAGAGGATGAACAACTGGGAGATAAAGTTAGACCAGACTGAGATGGTTTGGACATGTCCAGAGGAGGGACAGAAGAATGTTAGAAGTGCAGCTGCCAGGAAAAAGACAAAGAGAAGATATAGAGAGGACATGGGGGTAGTTGGAGTGAGGGCAGAGGATGCAGAAGACAGAGTGAGATGGAGGATGACTCGCTGTGGCGACCCCTGAAGAGGGAAAAGCCGGAAGACGATTTTAATTAGAGAAATTCGATTTTATGAGAAAATTCAACGTCAAAGCTGTGCGCTGAGCTAGTTTGATGAAGAAGCTAAATCTGAGTTGTTAAAGTTATTAAAAGAAGCAAAAGGCTAGCTGAAGGCTAAAAGCAGCAAAATGCTTACCAAAACAAACAAACAAATTACTAAAGTAGCTAAATGCTAGCTTAAAGCTAAAAGTAACAAAAGTCTAGCAAAAAGCAAAAAAGTAGCAACACAGTTGTGAAAATCCTATCCAACTCCAATCCAACTTTATTTATAAAGCACACACACACAAAAAAAAACCCATACAGGACCAAAGGGCTGTACAGACCAATTAAAAAGCACAAAAGAAATAAAATACAAGAAAAAAATAACTAAAAAGACATAAACAGCTATGCAATAAAAAGTGAAACAGTAAAAGGAGAATAAAATAAATAACAATAAAAAATCAATTCTCACATGGTGTCAAATGCCTTGGAAAAAGATAGGTTAGCAACAAAAGGCTAGCTTAGACTAAAATTTGCAAAAGCTTAACTCAATATTAAAAGTATCAGAGCAGTTGTGACATGTAGCGAAAGGCTAGCAGTTACTAAAAGTAGTAAAACACTAGCTTAAGACTTAAAGTGATCTAAAAGTTAAAAGTAGCAGAATAGTAGTGAAATGTAACACAAGGATAGGATTAACATATTCAACAAAAAATAGAGTAATTGTGCTGAAACAGATTTAACAAACAACAATAGTTTTGAAGGAATCGTAGCGATCTCAATGCATTTCTATGGAGATATATTTGTAAATGCACTTAAATATAGTAAAAAAGTATAATGTTTTAAAAATAAAAGTCCTAACATCCATCTTCTAAATGAGCTGAATGTTTTGTTAACGGCTAAAACAGTACAAATTAAATAGAAGTAGTTAGATTGTAAAAAAAATAAATAAAAGGAAGCAAACAAAGGAGAACAGTAAAACAAGAGTGGGAATGCTGAATCAGCATTCACTCAGTAAATAGTACGGTATGTTTTCTAAGACTGATTTCAATGTTTCAGTGAAGAGATGCTTTCATTTCCTCTTTCCTCAGCTTGTTTCTGTGACCAACACTGAACACAATCACAACAGCAAAACCAAGAGAGGTCTAGTGTTTCTGAAAGGAATGCATATCGTCCACCACCGCTCATGCCAGAGTTGCTAGCTAACATCATCTTATGCTGAGAAGGAGCAGAGTTATGGCTGTTTGGTCAAACTTTGTAAATTAAATTATGCGCAATGTCATGCAATACTGTGAGACTCTGCAAATGTGATAGTGCTCAGAGCTTAGGGTTATGCTCAGCTACTACTGTAACAAATATTAATATCTGTAAAACTGACACTATTTCCATTTTTGTATTGTTGTATACAAACAAAAAGATGCACACAGACGCTAGCAAAAACACTGTTGCCCTTTGCCTTTGGTGACAGGCCAAACATTGAAACGTAAAACGTTAAGTTGTTAAATGTTGGTTTGCTTTACACACCAGAGCTATCAGTGATCTCCCATTCTGTTTTTACTTTTTACTTTTAAAGGTTTCATACATTGGACACGACGCTGAGGAGATTCCGTACTTCCTTGGAGACACATACGGACAGTTTGCCAAACGACTGGATCTGAGCTTCAACCAGCTCAGGTAAGAAAACGTGAAAAAACAAGCGGAGTGAGAACATGTAATCAATCATCTGCTGTCTTCTACTGGGTGTCAACGTCTTTGTGTCAACTGTAAGTGAAGGCGTGGTCCCCGTCCAGAGCAGAGCATCAAACAGCTGGATGAGTCCCAGACATACGCTGGGGACGTACAAGGCACAATAAAAGGCACAATCAATACAAGTGACATGCTAATTCAGGAACAAATAGAACGAGCTTCTTCATTCGGGACATGAAGGAGCACCTCGTGGCATCCGTGTCGTAGGGGTGCTGTTATATCGACACCAAGATAACAGCTGATCTGAAAAGTGGAACAAAAGAGAAGATGGTTATAAGGTGACTTTGGTTCTGAACTCTTTTCATGTTTGTCAGACCATGAAGCCATCTCTGTAGACACTTGAAAAAAAAGTCTGAATAATTGCTTTGTGAGAGTTGTTTGTATTGGGAGTTTGCTAAACCACTTCACTCTTTACAGTGCAGAACCCTTCCTTTTCACATACCGTAATTTCCGCTGTACTTGTCGCACCGCCGTAGAAGTGGCATCAGTCCAAATATGACTAAAAAAGTGGAAAAATCCATAAACATGTCGCTTTGCTGTATATGTCGTATTACATCTATTATGCATCACCGTTGATGCGTCGCTTTTGTTACGCGTCACCGCTGACAACACGGAAAAATGGGCCGAACCCAGAAATGTGGGCCGGTGTTGTGCCAAAAATCGATGGGCTACCAAGTGGGGGCCGCGGGAGCATGCACGGGAGGATGTTAACAAGAAGTTAACAAGGTTAACACTTAAAAATAATTATTTGTTTGCTTGAAATCATAGTAAAGGCGTGTCTCAGTCTAACTTTTGCTTAATAAATGCACTTTGATGGTCAAATAGGCTGCATTTCAAAACCCGATTCGTGTAAGAGTGCACGTGCAGATGGACGAGCTGCTGTTCATTTCTTCGAAATTTAACAAGATAAACACCTAAAAACAATTATTTGTTTGCTTGACTTTATAGTAAAGGTGTCTCAGTCTAACATTTGCTTAATAAAAGGACTTTAACGGTCACATCAGCTGCATTTCAAAAGTATTCACTGCCTCGGTGCTCTGGGAGCGCACAGACAGAGAGGAAAAAAGAAGGAGGAACGCTGCTCGTTTTTTCGAAATTTAACAAGAAAAGCATCTAAAACAATTATTTGTTTGCTCAAAATTATAGCAAAGGTGTGTCTCAGTTGAACTTTTACTTATTAAATGCACTTTAATGGTCAAATTAGCTGCATTTTGCCGGGGCGGTGCAGCAAAATGAAGCTGAGCTCCAAGCAGCGAGCAGAACGAAGGTGGGAATATGGCAAGCTGATTGTGCCATTAATAGCTGGTGAAGATTCTCAGTCATCCAGGACATGGTAAACTCAAAAAATTTCAAGACAAAAATAATAAAGTATAAAGTAAAGTATAATAAATAAAGTCCAGTTGTTTTTGTCTGAACTTTTTTGAATTTGTCATTATAGCCACGTTTACCTATTACATGATACAACGGCATATCTTACTGATACTACTACTTTGCTGCCATCAGGTGACTGAAAGTGGTACTGCTCAATTTTTTCCCCATTCAGAATGAATGAAAGTCATATCTCAGCCAAAAATTGGTTTATAAAGATGGGGAACAAAATCCTTAAATACGTCGCTTTGGCCTATAAGTCTCAGGGCAAATTATGCAAAAAACTGAGACTTATAGGCCAAAAAATACGGTACATACAGACCAGCTTGGAACTTGTTTTTTTGCGGTTTGGTTATCGTGTGGCCATGGCTCAGCAGCACTGAAATGAAGCCAACATCTTCGGAGCACACCTTAACAACAACGTTGGTCCTGCTCATAGTGTTGGACTTCTAAGTTCTTCTGTAGCTCTTACTGCTTGGTTTGTCATTAACTGGTAAAATGCTTTGTCATGTCATCATGGAGAGGCTGGAGAACTCGACTTTAAGCTTGGTAACTGTACTCTGCAAATCTTAAAGGCTGAGTTTGTTTTCTCTAAACTAAGGCAGCACAAAACCAAATGATATTATGCATGTGCATTTATGCACTTATCCACATTTTCTTTCATTAATATCCTTTTTCCGTTTTCAGAGTGTTGCTTTAGTATAACCATCTTTATTGCCCTCTTAGAAAGGCAGAAGGTAGGTGGTGATATTTTTGCTTCTGTCTGAATGTGTCTGTCTGTTAGCAAAGTCTTTGGCAACACTGAATGGATTTTAATGAAACTTTTAGAAAGTTATATTTTTTTAAACCTTTATTTTACCAGGAATAAATCCATTGAGACTATTAATCTCTTTTACAAGGACATCTTGGGCAACATGCAAGGTGCAAACAAGCCACTGCAAATACAGCAACACAGTCTTAAGAACAGTAATAGTAATATTAAAATATTTACAACAAAACATCTGGTAATAAAATATAAAATATAATACAAGTAAAAAAATAAATAAATCACAATTTAAGACACTTGGACATTATAGGTGCAAGATGCGACTAAAACCTCTGACAGATTTTGTTTAAAACTAGATAAGCAGATGATTCTGTTATTGTCAGTCTGCTTAAAGGAAATGAAAGTAGTCATGGGCAGGTAACTGATGATTTTGTTCAATGGTGCAAGAACTCTTTCCTCAAACTAAACATTGATAAGACAAAATATATGATCATTGATTTTAGGAGGAAACCTCACAAGCACGAAGTCACTTTAATCAAAGGTCAAGCCAATGAGAGAGTGCAGTCTTACAAATATCTTGGGACAGTCATAGATGATGAATTAAACTTTGAAACCAATTTTGACAAAGTATGTAAGAAGGCCCACCAGCGCCTGTTTTGTCTAAGGAAACTGCCACTTTAATACTGACCGAACCATGATGACCATGTTTTATTGTGCTTTTATTGAATCAGTTTTATCCTTTTCCTTGGTGTCATGGTTTGGTCAAGCAACACTGAAAAAAAGAGTTCCTTTCAGCAGATTGTTAAGCTGTCGTCCAAACTGATCGGAGGAAACCAAAAACCAGTTACATCCCTGTACATTAGCCAGGTACAGCGGATAGTTTCTTCTGTTTTAAAAAATGTTTTTCACCCCCTTACAGGGAGTTTCAGCTTCTTCCCTCCGGTCGGAGGTTTTTAGCCCCTAAATGTAGGACAAGATGCTTTGAAAATAGCTTTGTTCCTACTGCTGTTATTGAAATGAACAAAATGAACTGACACGTGTTCTCAGTGGTTTGACAGATTTTTAAAAAAAAAATCTAATGATAAATTAATATTTTAATAAATTTTTTATACTAGTTGAATTTTAAAGTTTTTACTCTCCTCTTTTATGTCCTACTTTGCTTTGAATATGACCTGTGGAACCCTGAGCACTATTATCTGTGGATGGTTTATTTGAGGTGTTCTTATTTTTTTACAGTATGTGTGCGCATGGATGTCTGCTTTATGCTTTGTACCACTGCAAACCAAATCTACCATTGGGTATAAATAAAGTAACCTAACTTAACCTAACCTAAAAGAATAAAAAACTCCCACATCAGTTTCAGCTGCAGATCATTCCAAGACCATGAGCCGAAATAAGACAAACTCATCTTTCCTTACTTTGTGCGCACAAAGCCAGCTACTGGCCCTGAGACTGAGAGTGTTGTTTAGTGAAATGAACTTGGAGTTGATATATGATGGTAATTTTCCTAAAATGACTTTGTATATGAAAATATACCAATTAGGGATATATGATATTATCGACATGGTATTGGTATCAGCCGATACTAACGATAAAATTAAATATTGGACATCGGCCATTCCATGAAAATAACTCACCGATATAAAAGGCGCTGTTTATATATAAGGCGTTGTTTTTGTATGACAACCCAGTCACAAGGATGTCTGCAGCGGCAGCACAACGCTATGACGTCACGTGCGCTGCTGAGTTTAGATTTGTGAAAATTTACAAATTTGCACTGTTCGAGTGTTGTCATTGTGTTAGAGAGTAAATGTCATAAATAAATTTTACATTAAACTTAATCCAAGTTGAAGTGTTATATCATTTTCAGACCCCTTTTTTCCTAATACCAATGTTTCATCCTTCGAATATCACTGTAATCACTGTATGAACATCTACAACTGATCGACTTTTGGAGTCAGCCCCATTCAAGGTGGTCCCCACAGCTAATCAGAATCAGAATAAACTTCATTATCATTGCACCGAGATACAACGAGAACATGTACGTACAGTTGTCCAAAAGATTGGCGGAGTGCACGAAGCTGCTACTATGAAAGTGCGGCCCTTTTATTCTAATCAGCCTTGGCAAACACAAAAATGGCTATAACTCAGTCAGTTTTACACATAATAAACTAAGATGTGATGATAAAGAAGTTGAGAGTTATTCACAACACATATACTTTGACTGCCAAAGGTTTGTATAAAATCTTGGAATTTTGCACAGGATTGCACATAACGTTATTTATAACATTTGACCAAAAATGGCTACAACAAAATCATTTCTAAAATTCAAATGATCTTAGTTGAAAATTAGGGCATGAAAAGGGGTAGGTGATGTGTTAGGTCTTTCTATTTTTATGAATTCATTACATTATTGTCACAATCTCTGTTTCTTGTTATTTTGTGGCCACAAGTGCATGTTTTTAAACAAAATTATGAAGACATTTCATTTTCAGCTGATAGGAATGATTACATTGTAAAAACATAAACCTTTAATTCTATCTGTTTACATCTCACCGTCACTGACACATCATTTCTTTGTAAATTTGACAATGTTTAAAAAAAAAAAAAAAAAAAAGTTAAATCTTTTTTGTACTTCTTTTTACTTTCTGTCGAATGTAACTTTTGTAAATGAAATTTAAATTGAGACAGACTGATTTAACTTGTCTAAAAATTGACAGTTGTCACGTTTTAATTTTAGCTAGCACGTCACGGTAATGACAATGTCAGGGTACTCTTTCTTTACTACAGGAAA